CCTTATTTTTGAGACTGGCCGCACCGCGCTCAGCCAGTGAGCACTGTGAGCGCACCGGTCATCCCTATATAGGATCCGAACCCGCGGCGGGAGCGCTGCTGCGCTCTGACTGGGAGCTTTTTAAAAAATTGATTTTAAGTTTAAAATCAAAAGTATGATGGGTAGGAAATCAACATACACTACCACAGAGAGAAGTAGCTAGACATAATATCAAGATAAAGTAGATGTTCAGTCCCTTCTCAATTTAGATATACCACATGAGAAGCGGAGTGTAAATCCCATGTGTATCTCTGTACATGTTATCACTCGGAGGGGCATATTTTATACACAACCAGGGAGATATGCACGACCTTTGGTCAAATGCTCAGTTCAAACTCCAAACCTTTTTGAGTGGCAAGAAGCAACTGACTAGTCTTCATTTCTGCAGGGGATGGAAGTTCATGAGGATTATGACAAGGCACTGGCTGTTGTAAGTCCTCATCTCTTCCAAAATGTCACTCGCTACTCAAGTCAGGACAACTCATGGCTCACACTTCCCTCAAACACTCAAGTATTTTAAAATGAGTATTTAAAATAGAATGGGAAATTCATTTTGAGTTCTATTAACCACCCAAATATAGGGAGAAAGCATTTTCAGAAATTTGATTATTAATATAAAATGGAACCAAAACAGAGAAAATAAAAGTAGAAAAGGAGAGAGGAAAAAAGTGAGAAAAATCCCTGTCTAAGATGGCCAGTCTTCACTGAGATGAGTTAAATATTCTTTCAGAACAATTTTAATTAACTTGTTTGTTTGTTTTGAACAGGTAATATGCTTAGATGGTAATAAATTCAAACAGAATAAGAGTCTATATAAGTAGAAAAATCCTGTACTCCCTTACCCCAGGCTTCCAGTTCTACATCCAGGAGGCAACCACTGTAACCAGTTTCTTATATATCTTGCATATCATCACCAAGGTGATCTTTGCACAAACAATCATATATGTATATCCCTCCTATTTTATTCAAGTGGGATCACACTACACATACTGTCCTCCCCTTGCTTTTATCCCCACTTAAAAATATATCATAGATGGACTGAAATTTAAGGTATCAGTGTGAACTTGTGACTTCTAGAATATACATATTCATGCATATGTGTGTGTGTACATACACACACATATGTATACATGTGTGGATATGATTATATATACACACATGTATATGTGCATATATTTACAGCTTCTGTCTGCTAAAAGGGCCCAAAAGCAAAGACATCTAAGTAGTAATAGAACACCTTACATCCAGATCTTGGTCTCTAATACCACTCAACACCAAAAGGAACCATGGCTCCTAAGAGAAATGGCTAATAACAGGTTTGGACCAGGTTATGGATGAGATGAGCCTAGATCATATTAGGCCAGAAAGTAAGGAAGTACTAAAAAAAATAAACATTATTGGGCCATGTCACAAGGACACAGGAACCAGATTGAAGGGGCTCCCAATGGCAAAATCTGGGGCAGTTTGAGCACCAAAATAATTAAAAACAGTAATGGATTATAAACCATCAAAATAATAAGAATCCATAATGTGGAATAGACAAATAAATAGGGGGGATGGGAAAGTTCTAGCTTACAGTAGAACACCAACTTCTGATAAGTAACATTTTGAATATAAATATTTAATATTGAATATAAGTGTTGAGAGAGTGCTAGAGTTGGAAAATCATTATTTTGCAACCAATATAATAAAGGTTGTTTAAGGCAAGAATCATCAATGAATATCAAAGAGAGAGGGGAATATCGTGAGGAGCAGGATATTTGCATGATCTTAAAGTGCCTCTCCAAAGATTGATTATTAATTGCAAGGGAAACAATATGTTTGAGTAAATGGACAACACCTTGACTAGGGGATCAAAATTCACCTCACCAACTAGGGGTAGTGAGCATTGTGGGCCTCCAGGTGATACCCCGAGATGAACACAACAGCAATTAAGTAGTATGCCAGCTGGGAATGCATAACCTAAATCACATCATGAGAAACCATCACATGAGCCCAGAATGAGGTATAAGTTTTTAAAGGACTATATTCTTCAAATATGTTAATGTCATAAAAGACAAAGAAAGGCCATGAAAATATTTCAGATTAAAGGAGACTAAAGAAACACAAGAATTATATCCACTACCCAATCCTAGATTGGCTCCTGTACATATATCCTATAGATACATATATTATGTATAATACATATTTTATGTACATAATCTCTTCATATGTATATCAGATAAATACATATATATTATAATACATATGAATATACAATACATATAAATACATAAACATTCTTTTAAAAAAAAATACAGAAACATTATCAATATACATATACATTACAATATATGATCTGGTTTGAATGCATGTGGCCCTCCAAAATTCATGTGTTGAAACCTAATAACCAAGGTGATGGTATTAGAAGGTGGGGCTTCTGGCAGGGTTAGGTCATGAGGGCTCCTCCCTTGTGAATAGGATTAGTGGCCTTAAAAACTGGCTGGAGGGGGTAGGTCTGCCCTCTTGCTCTTCTGTTCTTCCACCATGTGAGGACACAGCATTCGTCCCCTCCAGAGGATGCAGCAAGGCCGTCTTGGAAGGGGAGACCGGGCCCCTCACCAGACACCACCTAAAATATATCTTAGATGGTGATCTTGGGTTTCCCAACCTCCAGAACTGTGAGAAATAAATTTCTGTTCTTTATAAATTACCCAGTCTACAGTATTTTGTTAAAACAGCATAAACAAATTAAGAAAATACATATGCAACACATACAAATACATAAACATTATTCTAAATATTCATATAAATACATAAAATGTATAAACATTATCCTAATTATACATATAAAGATATATATATACATATGAAATTCATATTATACATATACAGAATATATGTACAGAATATATGAATACAGAATATATGTACAGGATCCAGGCTAGAATCAGGCAGTGCATTTAATTGTCACGTATCTTTAGTTTCCTTTAATCTGACACATTTCCATAGCCCTGCTTTATCTTTTATGAGATTAACATTTCATATAAATGTACGTGTGCATGTGTATACATTCACGGTCCCCGACTTGTGATGGTTCGATTTATGATTTTTTGACTTTATCATGGTGGGATCATGATACACATTTAGTAGAAACTGTACTTCAAGTACCCAAACAACTATTCTGTTTTTCACTTTCACTACAGTATTCAATAACTTACATGAGATATTGAACATTTAGTTATAAAATAGGCTTTGTGTTAGATGACTTTGCCCACCTGCAGGCTAATGTAAGTGTTCTGAGCACGTTTAAAGTAGGCTAGGCTAAGCTATGATGTTTGATAGCTCAGGTGTATTAAATGAATTTTCAACTTATAATATTTTCAACTTACAATGGGTTTATAGGGATCCAACTCCATCATAAATTGAGGAGCACTTGTATACTATGTAAATGGTATAGAGAGAAGCATAACAATAAATAATAAATCAAATGGGGGTGAAATGTTAACAGTGAGTGAATCTGGGTAAAGGGCCTGTGGTGTTCTTTTTACTATTCTTATTCTTTCAACTATATAGAGAGAAGCATAACAATAAATAATAAATCAAATGGGGGTGAAATGTTAACAGTCAGTGAGTGAATCTGGGTAAAGGGCCTGTGGTGTTCTTTTTACTATTCTTATTCTTTCAACTTTTCTGTGAGTTTGAAATTATTTTCAACAAGACATTTTTTAAAACCCCCAAAATATATATTAGAAACTGTTCTAAATCAGTATAGATTTATCTTATATATTTTTATTTGTTTTTCATTTTTCAACTGAGCTAAAGTGCATAGGTTTTAAGGGTATAGTTCAATTAGTTTTGATATAAGTATGCACACATGTAACACCACCCAATCAAGATATATAGAACATTTCTCCAGGAAGTTCCCTTGTGTCTCCTCCCAATCAGTCTCAACTACCCCTCATCCCCAACAACAACCACCGTTTTGATTTTCTGTCACCACAGTGGTTTTGCCTATTCTTGAGCTTTATATAAAAGGAATCATAAAGTATATTCTTTAGTGTCTAGCTGCTTTCTCTCAAGGGAATATTTTTGAGATATATCCATACTGTAGCATGTATCAGTACTTCACTCCTTTTTATTGCTTACTGTTATTCATTACATGAATGTGCCACAGTTTCTTTATCCATTCACCAGCTGATGGCCATTCTTTTACGTGTCTTTTTATGGACGTATGTTTTCATTTCTCCTGGTTGGGTCATAGGATATGCATAGGGTATGTGTATGTTTCTAAGAAACTACCAACTGTTTCCAACGTGGCTGTTCCATACCTTACCACTTTTATTGCTGCAAGGCATTTCATTGATTGGATAGATCATAATTTATTTAACCAGCTCCCTGTTGTCAGGCATTAAGTTGTTCCCAAAACTTGCTATTTACAAACTACTTGGTAATAAATACCATTGTATATGCAGCTTTGTGAACCTGTGTGAGAACATCTGTAGAATAACTTTTAGAGGTAGGTCAAAGAGCATATACATTTTAATTTTCTATAAATACTGACAATTAGTCCTTCATATTGGTCATTATCAACTCCATTCCTACCAGCAAAGTATGAGAGTGCCTGTTTCCCCACATCTGTTTGACGTGAGAGGTAAAATTTTGAATCTTTTAGTTTTAATTTGTTTTTCTCTTCTGAGTATCACAATATTGGTTTTTATTTTTTCCTATGGTTTCCTATATTTATGTCACCCCATATTTTAGATCTATATTTTCTTTCACCTGTACAATTTATCTTCCTCCTTCAATCTCTTTCTACAGTCTTAGACATCACCTTCAGATTGATTTAACTTCAGTAGCAATTTACCACGTGACTTCCCACCTGAAAAAACATCCCTGGATCCCCATTGTCTACTGGAGAAAATCCAGACCCTGTATCCTCACTTTGAAGACTTATTCTGTGTTTTCTACCTTTTCTTCCAAAAGATTACACTTTATGTAGCCTGACAAAAATGAGGCTTCCTGTGGACTTCACGTAAAGGTGCACTTCCTGCCTCTGTGTCTTTACACATGCTGTTCCCTCAGCCCAGCATGCTGCCTCTCCCTCTCTACCTGTCGAAACCCACCTTTCTTCAAAACCCAGCTCACATGCCATCTTCTCCACATGCCCTAAGCAAATGGAGACAAGATGAAAGGTCATGCTTACCGGCACTTTCATTTTAAATTCACCTCGATAATATTTGATGCCAATGTCAGTGAATGCCCTCTGGATAAAGCGAGATGGACGAAGGATGAATATGAGCTGCAAGTTTCCTGGAAATGCCACCTAGAAGGATTATGAAAAGTGTCAGGGGGAGAGAGAAAATGTCACATCCATTACCAGGATCTACTTTGGTCTCCTATTGCCCAATATCACTTTAAAGGAAAAGTTAAAGTGGGCATGATGGATACCAAAGAATTAGAATAGATTTCAGAAGATTTCAGAGCTAAAAGGGACCTTAGAGGTCAAATAAACCAAATCCCTCTTTAAAAACCAAACCAGCCAAACAAGCAAAAAAATGTTCTAATTACAAAAATAATTCACACTCTTTGTAAAAAATTTGAGAAATTAATAAAAGTACATATTAGAAAGAGCAAACCATCCATGATACCAGAGCCATATTTAATATTTCAATTTATTTACTTATAGGCTGTTTTCTCTGTTTAAATGTTTAAACTCAAACTGTAGAAATATTTTGTAACCTGCCTTTTCACTTAATATTATACCACAAGCTTTTATTCCTGTTATTAAAAAATTCTTTGAAAATATTGTTTTTTATAGATGCACAATTCATCTAACCAATTCCTTATCGCTAGTCATTTTGACTTTTCAATATTTTTACTATTATAAATAACACAGAAATGAACACCTTTTTTTTTTTTCCTTTTTGTCTTTTTTCGTGACCGGTAACGGGATCGCAACCCTTGGTGTCGCACCCATACCGCGACCGGTGTCACGCCCGCACCGCACTCAACCAGTGAGCGGACCGGTCTCTATATGGGATCCGAACCCTCGGTGGGAACGCCGCCGTGCTCCCAAGTGCTGCACTCTACTGAGTGCGCCACTGGGCTGGCCCGAAATGAACACCTTTTATCCACATTTTGGAACATTTTCTTAGGATAGATTCCTAGAAGAATTACTGGGTCAAAGAATTAGTATTTTAAGGGTTCTCGATGCTTATTATTGCCAAGTTGCTTTCAGAAAGTATTGCCCTCAGCTTGAGGTGAAGTCCTGAGCAATGAGATCACCCAGATTCACATAACTACTTAGTGGCAAAGTTAGGAACCCAAGCCTCCCACTGCCCATGGCTTTCCATTCTTCCAGTGGTTCCCCAAAGCAACTTCTTAAAGTGCTTGTTTAAAAAAAAAAAACCCATGTACAAAGGGAAGGGAGTGCTTTCTTCCCCCATCTTTGAAATGCAAGCTCATAAACAGAAGAATCTTGCATTTCGTTGTGTCATGACAGGATAAATTAGCTGAGACACAATTTGTGGATCTGGATGAGGCTCTAAAGCTATCTAACAGGGACTTGTATGTGCATGTCTGTATTTGTGACTGCTCCTGTAAGTGGGAGTGAGTCTTTAAATATTGCTCTCCCATCCTAACTCCTACACACACATTACCACCACACCATATCCCATCCTCTTTGTCCAGTCCCAACTGCCCCAGGGAGCCTGTGCTTGGTAAAAATACTGGTGCGGCTGGCCCCGAGGTGCCTCTGCCTGACCGTGTGGCTGAGTTCACAGGTCTCAGGTCCCTACAGAGGAAACAGACATCTATCTGCTGAAAGACAACAAACAGGGATCAAAATAGAAACCCATCCAAGATTGTACAATTTGCACCAAATGCAATCACACCTCCAACCAAGCTACTTAAATATCATTTTGTCTTGCTTTGGCATTATCATTCTAATTTGTGAAAAAATAATTAGAGTAGTGAAATGAAAACTGTCTTAAATCAGGTTGCCCCCAGAGCAAAGCTTCAGACAAGAATTTGGATACCAATAGTTTGTTTGGGAGGTGATTCCAGGAAGCACAAATGAGGGAATGGGGAGGTGGAAGACAATGGACAGAGAGCCAGTGTATCAATGAGGGGGCTATTGCTATGGGCAAGAGGGGATGAGACCCTCTGGGATATTGTGTGGAACATACCTCAGAACTGTTGCACTGTCAGGTGTGGAAGCTGGGGTATTTACCCACCAACTCCCATAACTCAATGGTTGCTGGTTACTCCTGGGCATTAACTTCCCACCTGTCCCTGTTTAGCAACCAGAGAAGTCAATAAGGTAGAGAGACTCAGGAAGTCCTTGACATGCTCAGGGATTGTCTGCAGGTGACCTTCAGATGACAGAGGGGATATGAACGTGACACAACAGCACCTGCTACAAAGACCTTCCCAAAATTTGACATAAAATGATTGTCTTTTCCCTAGGATTTTGATATGGAATAATCAAATAGACAATTTAAATGACTTTTATAATAATAGCACAAAAATACATATTTACAGCTATCCGTGTCAAGGATGCTTTTACGGAGCTCCACTTGTCCCTTCGTCTGTCGATAACAATGATGAATCCAATGCTGGCAGCCTCCGCACTGCAAAGAAGGGTGGTCAGTGTCAGAGATTAGGTGAGAACCATGGGTTCTATGTAGCTCTCATAGGAGAATGCACCCTACAGCCTCCATACCACTTCAGGCTCACTGTGTAAACACCCTGCACAGCACAAGGAATAGCTGGGTCTGATTTCCCCAGCAAAGGAACCAACTTCCTCTTTCAGTCTGAGCCTGGCAGACTGAACAAAATAAATACTTTGTCTCTTAAACCTCTCATGGATTCTGTTTCTAGCTGGCAAATGCGCAAACACCAAAGGAGCAGCTGTGCTCATGCCTGAAGGAAGATGCACATATCAGCTGATCATCACGTGTCCCAGTATAAGCAAAGGTCCTTGATGTTGAGCTCCACCATCCTTCCTCTCCTAAGACAGAGTGCAGCTATCAATATCCTTCCATAGGAGTCAGTCCTAGAGGTGTTCAGAAATAACATGTCAATGGGAAAAACAACCCCCTTCAAGTTCCTGGTATAAGAAGGCCAATAGACCATATGCATGAGAAAATATCATCTTCATTAAGACCAAAATGAAGCTATTCATTCCCCTCTTATTCTCACAAAACCCTTTGAAACTAAAGTCCTAAAAGTAAACACATTTTTCTTCTCTCCTCTGGGGAGAAGTAAGGTATAGAGGAAAGGACAAGGGCCTTAGAGCCTGGTTCAAACCCTAGTGCTGCCACTTACCAGCACTGAGACACTGGGGAGATCACCTAACTTGTCTAAAATTCAGTTTTGTTCTATGGAAAATGAGAATTTTATCACCAATTGTGAAGTGGCTAAAAGCACAAATTCTGGAACCAACCTGAGTAGATTTGAACTCTGAATTCTACCATTTATGTATTGTATAGGTTTGGGGGTGGAGGGGTGGTAAGGGAGAGAATTACTTAACCCCTATAGTTTCACAGACTCTTCATTTGTAAAGTAGGAATAATAAAATAGTACCCATTTATAATGTTGGTATGTACAGATGTATAAAATGCTCAGAACAATGCCTGGCACTAGGTAATACTGAATAAGAACTAGCAATTATTATTTCTTTTTTTTTTTTTTTTTTTTTTTTTTTTTTTTTTTT